ATATATATATATCGTGTTACGTATCGTGATATATTGCATAATTAATGAAATATTTTCAATTACACCCGTTTTGTATTGTTTTATAAAGGAAATAAAAATAATTGCTAGACTCGTTCATCATGCTGCAAATTGGTCTCTTCTTCGAGAATAACAATGTATTTTTGTACAAAAAAAGGGACATTAATCAATTGCTTAATTATAGTTTTATCTTGAATTACAACTACAATTTTACCTTTTATCACGTGAGTTCCCAGATTTGTCCGACATTATTTATGACCGCGTTAGGATTACTTTTGTGAAACATGAAATATCCCTGAATCTGCGCTGGACTAACATTTTTCTTAAATGACATAACGCTGTCAGCAAATTGCTTTGCAAGTGAACCTGAATCTTTACCCGGTTCCTTATAAAATCTTAGAAACATTTGTTCGACTTGATTCTGGCTGCACCATCCTAAAGGAAAAATAGTAAGAATTATCTAGATTGTTATTTTTAGTTTCTTATTTTTTCATACGTACCAATGTATTCTTTAACGTCAACTCTGCCTGGTCTAACAAGTGCAGGGTCCAGTCTATCCAAGTAATTGGTTGTCATAAATAATATTCTAGCTTCTGTAGAAGCCACACCATCTAGGCAGTTCAATAGACCACTGAATGTTACTCTATTGAGACCTTCATATGCTGCTTTAACTAAAGAACGAAAAAATGAAAAAAATTTATAAATTGTTTTACTTCATTTTATGCTGTCGGATTAATATATTTACCTGCTTTAGACTCTTCTCTACTAGTAAAAGCAGCGTCAATGTCCTCGAGCAAGATGATAGTTTGTTGGGGTGCTACTGCTAACAGATGATTCAGTCTGTCATCCGTCAGGCCTCTTTCGGATAAATTTAAAACGCAGATACCGCGTTCTAGTTCCCCGGCCAACGCGGTAATGTACGAAGACTTGCCGCATCCTGGAGGTCCATATAACAAGTAGCCTCTGCGATAGGGAATCCCTAGAAAAGATTATAGTTCCTTATTTTTAAAAGATATATGTAGCATCATTTCTTATTTCGTTATGAATAATAGGACATTTGCAATCAAGGCAGAAAATAAATCTTAGGTCTGTAGCTCGATACCTCTTTCACTGTACCACGATGGATTATTGATAAATTCCTGGCAGTCATTTATGATCCTTTCGGAAATCCCAGTGTCTAAGACTACTGATTCCAGCGGTCTCCTCTTTCTCGCGTGCCCAAATTGCCGCCACTCGCTTCCCATGGCAGTGTACATTATGGTCTTTCCCTCATGCTCCTTCAAAGCCATTTGTCTGGCTGTATGAATTAAGAATTGCTTCTGATTCCCCGATGTTATGTAAAGTGTCTGTACACATATATTTCTATGAACTCAACCTTCTTCAAGAATATTGAAGTATATGCTCCTGTCTTTGCCAAACGCTGTCAACTGCACGGTCTCCCATGGTACACCCATATGTAGATCTAATGTCTGTTGCTCCCTAGTTCTCTCTACCTTTATCCAGTTTCCCTTATACCTATAGAAATTAGGAAAGACATTAGAAAAAGTTATCAGAAGAAAAATAAAACAAGATCGAAAAATTTAGAAGTATCCTGACCTAAAGAAATGAGTTCCTATGCTCGGGATAAAGTCATATTTGGTTTTCACATGACCAGTTTCCTTCTGTTCGAAGCTGGTCTCTACAGAGAGATGCTGCGTTTTTCGTGCACCTTTGTGAGTGATCCACTGCAGTAGCCATTGATAACTTTTATCACGACATGGTACTTCTAGAGTGATCATATAATGTCGTCTAGTGAAGAAAATAACATTTTAAATTAAATAAGTTTTATAATATAACAAAGTATAATATATGATACCTGAACAGCACAGCTCCAACCTGAACGCCTTTTCTCAACAAAGCAGCCCCAGCTCCAAGACCGAAAAGACCAAAGCCGGCACCGAAGTAAGGATTATCGGATAGAGTTTGTATATATTCAATGAGCGTCATGATGCAAATTACATAAGTCGTACGGATAAAAATTTGTTATAGATTATGGATAAATTAATCTTTTTATTTAAGTTTCGTCGTGATTATTGAAGCTTTTAATTATAATAATCATTATAGAATTATTAAATAATTCTATTAATACATAATATACATGTATATGTATTAATTATAAAATAATTAAGTAATTCTGAGTTGCAATAACAATAAGCAGAGGTTATATATGCTATCAATGTGATATAGACATACTGAGTAACGATTAAAGATACATGTCCTACAAAAACATTCTGTATAACATTCTGTACGATATTCTCAATAACTGATAAATGTAAACGTATTATTTTTTGTACGAATCTTGCATTCGACACGTGTAATAAAAAGTACTGCCGGAAGCAATATTCCGATGTTGATAATTGCAGAGCCCTGCAATTTAACATATCTTAGCAATGATATTCAATATTCTAAATTGACATTATTTCAAAAATAATAATAGAAATATATATAATATATAATGTAATTATATATTAAAAAATAATCATGTCCTTGATTATTTTTTATTTATAGATTTAGTACTTTGCTCACAATAAATTATTTAATATTATACATTTATATTATTTAATTTATACAAATATAATATAAATGTGATAAAATAATATGTATCAATAATAAATGTCGAGATCGAAATTAATTACATTAAAAACATTACATTAAAAACATATTTATTGTGTAAATATTTGGAAATTGAATTGCAAAAGATTTTCTCTGTCTTATAAATTACTTGACAGGCTCCTTAAACATGTTATGTGTAGTTAAATAATAATAAGAGAAAGGAGAAGATAAGGAAGAAAAAGAAGAGGAAGAGAAGATGAATTCGCAATTCTGTTACAAATGATTATATTTCACTTTATGTTACAAAAAGAATCTACTACGTACAGTGTACCATTGTTTAATAACGTCAATTCCAGGTACCACGAGTGTGGCTTTAATATGCACATGATTCTCTCTCTCTCTCTCTCTCTCTCTCTCTTTTTATCTTTTCTCTGTCCCGTTCTTTAAATATATTCTTGCAAATAATATCGCTGAACATCTATTTAACAGCTATTTCCGACTTCTGATTTAAAATGATTTGGCATCCCTGCACCGATTATTAAGTCTCGAGAACACAGGAGAAAAAATCACGAGGTTGTTATAAACGGCGGCTGGTTCTGGGATCCTTCCTACGTTACTGCTTAATGATCTATCGTAGCTACGGAGAAAATATAATACGTTCGTTGACGTTCGTAATATTTGTATGTATAAATCGTGTTAATCCTCCGTGATGTTGGTACGTTTTAGACAATGTATTATTAGTCGTAATGCTAGAGAGTGCATTTACAATATGCACAATGTTTTGGGTCCATGCTCCAAATTTCGTTAGAAAAATCTTTTTTTCAACAAATAACTCCTCAAATCCATTATTTTGGTCAGTTATCCAACATCAAATGGACGCTCTATACATACACACACACACACACACACACACACACACACACACACACACACACACACACACACACACACACACACACAAATCAAACGAATACAAAAAAAAATTAAAATAAAATTAAAAATCAAAGAATTATTGTATAAATTCATTTAAATATTACAATTAACATTATTAACTTATCTTCTGTGGAATATCAAATTGAGATACATGTGTCTCTTCTATATATATATATAAAAGAATATAATTAATATTTAATAATCAGTTATAAAAACATAAGTAAAAAATGTAAAGAAATCAATATAATTTCTTAACAAAATTTATAAATTACTTTTTACAACAATCAGAATCACAAAACATTGTAAACATTTGCGAATATATTTCTAAATTGAAGAAATATGAATTTTTATTGATATAATAGAAAGATACGAAATGTTTGGTGTAAAAAATCGCAAACCATCTGATGTCGTTCAATTCGGATCTCAGAATTATTGCCAGGAAGTACGAATCTCTGAACAACGAAGTGCAAATATTATATATCTCGCGTAAGTGCAACATGGACCCGGTTAGAGAGTGCAATACATCCAACACACATCCGTCAGGATGTCTTACACGCGCGTTGTTATTATTACACATCAAGAATTCTCCTCCTAGAGATAATAGTTCCAGCACACATTACGCAGTTGATTAATCTCTTAGCCTATGCCATTACAGTTAATTGGACTCGTTATTCGAATCTCATTCTTCTCTCTCGCTCTCTCTCTCTCTCTCTCTCTCTCTCTCTTTCTCTTTCTCTCGTTCATTTTTTTTATATATCTAGTCTCACATACTGTGATCTAAACGCATCACCGTCGGGAAACTCATCGGGCGGGACGCAATGAGAGCTTTTGTGGAAGCCTTGAGCAAATCTGTCCGCCATCCCCATTTATCAATCAATCCCCGGCGGACAGATTCTGATATTATTGTTCACGATGTACCCTCTTGTTTCTTGGTCTTCCCCCTAGAATACTTAATTCTGTCGTAAACTCGCTCTGTTTTTTTTTCCTCTCTTTCTCTCTCTTTAATAATCTTAAATATGAACTTGGAGAATAATTCGGTTGCGGTATCTCTTAGGATTTTTATCAGAAAATACAATTTACATTAGAATTTATAAGAGGCAACAGAGAATGATTAACGTTATTAAAAAACGAAACATCAATCGATGGTATTATGGTATACGAATATGTGAAAGGCGTAACAGATCTCTTTCTGATTCAGGATAATTACCGGCCGGGAATTTACGCAAATAGAAAATTCACAGCGCCGATACGCGACTTTTCACGACACGGAGGAACTTTGTGAAGGACGTAAATATACAGAAAGACCATATCGATCCCTCGAAAGGACAGAATTATTTTTGGCAAAAATTGTCGAAGGTGTGCGCTTCTGCGACTGGACGCCCGCATTCATTTCGTCAATTTTTAACGACACTTCAAGGACTGTGCTTCAAACATCAATTAACAAGATGTAGAGAAATTTTAAATAGTACAGAAATTGCATAGATCATCTTAGTGGAACGATTTTACAGCTTCTAAAAGTGTATCAGAGTATCATTTAATTTCTAATATACAGCTATTAAGTACACTGAGAAAAAATGCTGTTAAATCAACAGCATAGTCTGGAAATAATTTTGTTAATTCAATAATTGGAAATAATTTTGTTAATTCAATGACATTATTAATGAAATAGTATATTATGCTTTTAATAATCAAGATCTTCGTTTCATCAATAATGTCATTGAATTAATAAAATTATTTCCAATTATTGACTAATGCTATTGATTCAACAGCATTTTTTTCTCAGTGTATCAATATAATTATGCACAGTCCCTGAATTACAATTATTTTTGTAAATTACGCTACGGATTTATACGTTTCAATATCTCTGACGCTGATGTCTCTCCAGTCGCGTGGAGCAGCGCGGACGGCTAGGTAGAGTCGAGGACGAAATTTCTCGTGAAAAATAGTAAGGACAGCTTCTCGAGAAACGGAAGGATCTTTCTTTTTGCCCGGCTCGTTCCCGACGATGGCGCGAGGCGAGAAGGGAAGGGACGGTGGTCTGAGACTGGCTCGGTTTGTGGACACAAATTAGCCCGACCTGTGTCTAGCGCCTAATTATATACGAATTTCGCAGAAAATTCTTTTTTACTGTTTCCTAGCCTTCGAAGATTAATACTTAAGATTAGAATCAACATATAAAATTAACTATTCAGAGCCAATTGCACCAACGTGGATCTGGATGATTAAACGACTATATCTTTTCTCATCTAGGCATGATTATGATTAAACTTTAAAATCTAGAAGGAGACAAGGACCGTTAATCGAATTATTGCAATAAGTTAGTGATTTACAAGTTAGTGCAAATGACTCGTAATAAGATAAAACAATGTTAAAACGTTGTGTGTTATCATCCGAATATAAGAAAAGAACATGATACTTGAAAAAAATAAGGAAATACATCGTGAATAAAATAAAAATCTGAAAAAAACGCTTTATTCCGAAATACGGAAGAACATGATCGACGTCGGATCGTATAAAATGGGAAATAGTATTTCGATTCGCGTCATAGACACAGGTGACGCAATAATTACAAGATTATAGATACAATATAATAGCGACAACTGATCAATCGATTGATATAATCGATGAACGATCGATAAATTCTCTTTAGATATTTGTCTTACCGCGACGAAGCTGACAATAGTTACAAGAATAAATATACAATTGCAATAATATCGATGATAATAATAATAATAAAGACAATAGTAATAGTAATAACAAATTTGATTGAAGACAATCTATGATCGTTTATATTGTATACATATTTATTTGCGGGATGCTCCATATTATGTTTCTGGATCGTGTGCATATTGCAACATAATATTATAGTAATAATAATAATCAATATTCGCAAAAACATGATTAGATTTTTCTTTATAATTAGTTATTTTAATTGGAATGATCTTTACAAGTCATAATAAATACGTGTATTACTTAGAAAGAGAGATGCCATGTCTATAGAATGTTCAAAGTAAAAGGACATCCCGCGAAATGCACTGAGCACACTTATCACAATAATTACACTCTCGCAAAGGTACAAGATAGTAATCAATAGAAGTGTAATTAGAGCTCTTCTCGTGCACCTTCTTTTGTCTTGTTAAAACAAAAAATCGTATGCGTAATCCCGTCGAACGAGATCAGCGACGATTATGTATAAAGTATTAAAATTGCCTTGCAAAGCGCCTTGCAACAATAGAAAACATACACATAAAAATATAAATAAAAATAACTTAACAAGTGATGAAATCTGCGTTGGATAGCTGCACCTAATACAATCATCAAATTTAATAATCAACTTCTAATGAATGATAGGAGTGGATTTAACAAGCTGCCAAGCTGCTTACGTTAATAAGAAATTAACGTAAATGATCTAGAGCCCGTTTAGGCCGTTTATATAATAAAATCGAATATAATAAAACGAAAGAACGTGATATCACACGTTGCGAGTGTGTAGTTAACAATGAGAAAGAATATACCAATTTTCAATAATAAAAGATGAGCAATACTTTGGTTTCGGAACAACTAGTTTCGCGGCTCGAACAGAAAAATATGTTGCCTAGAATCACAATGTGCTAAGTTTAAAATCTATAAAATTCATTTTTGCAATAAAATAAATGGCATTCTTCATCTTTTGGCCTCTCGTATCTAACTCGTCTATTTTCTGTTCGAGATGCAAAGCGGCACGAGTCGTTCAGTTTCCAGTGTATTGAAATATTTCTGCGATTCGACAATGTATAAGGATCAATATTCATAGTCAATTTTCATATTTAAGATCATCTTAGTACGAGCTTAAGATGTTATATGACTATTTCATTGGCTGAGCAGGATTTTAAAAACGACCTGTCTCTGACGATCTTAAATATAAGAATTGATTATGAATATCGATCTACGATAAAATGATTTCTATTGGAGAAAAAAATTGTCGGTCAAAAATAAACGAGCGTGAGTAGGCTATATCCGAGTGTCTATGGCGAGTGACCTGAGGTGTGCTACTTGGAAGGTGGGTCCCCTATATCGTGGATATTTTACTCGACTATATCGTTTAAAAATTTTCAAGTCTACTTGCCTACGACATTTCATCTCGCTACTTTGATTATAAATGCTACCGATCACGCGCGATATTTAATATTGTCTCTATGGTATGCGAACCGTTCTTCCGTTTTTCACAAATCTACCTAACAGTATGCGTTTCTCACGCCATGCCTCGTTTAACGTAACGCTTTTCGTCCAACAAGATGTTCCAGAAACAATTATTATGCTACATTACAGACCAACGAAAGATTTTAACGAAATGCTCTTTGAGTCATTTAAACCGTGAAACTTTAATAAATAAGCGTGCTGAAGCAGTGACAGAGCTCGACGAATCGCATTGTCTGAAACGTGGAGTGTGCTCTATATAATACAAACGACCGAGAGTATATCAATGGAACGCTCGCGCCAATCCTAATGCACTTAACAATCTGACACGGCTGAACGCGCATTGTCGTAGAACATATAATTCGCATTAAACACGCGCACGCAGCGACTCCGCAAATGGCGGGGCGCCCGCAACGAAAGTGTATCCTACAACTCCTTTGTATCCTAAATTCTTCTATTAACAATAGTGGTAACACAAGGCAGAGCTCCATGAAGAGACTCTATGATATGGAGCAAAAATCCGTGGGATGTGAAATTAAACATTTCGAAGCCTTCAAAACGCAGTCCTTACTTCCCCCGTTTCACCGAGCGCAATTCTCTCTTCCGTATCAGTGAGGACGGCGTCATCGTTTCCTTCTTTCATTTTTTCCGTTTTATTTTCCCGAGCACTCACCGTGTCCATCCATCTCTTTGTAAAAATACGTATTCGCAGAATTTAATGCGATGAACCGATTATTACGGATAACGAGACTGCGGACGTTCTCTCTAACGAAGAAGTCAATTGTATACTCACTAGTCTTTCAGACCCGTGAGATGCGGATCTGACAACGAGCAATAGAAAAATTCGAAAGGTTCTCAAAATCCTCGCTTCTCTCAAAATATTTTACTCCACATCTTCATCATTTTCTAGAAGAAATCTCTGCCTAAGTGGGGACGGTTCGTCTGTTGAGACAGTCGCGGTCTACCTCGTCCGTTTGCACCGGCGGCGTGTCTTCTGGTGTTGCGTAATTCCCGATCGACCTCGAGCTCCTCGAGTTTCATGGTGAGACCGAGTTTCTGCTGCACTGCCAGGCGTAGCAGTTGGTTCAGCGTTTTCCGATCGTCCTCCGCTACGGCGAGCTGCCGCTGAAGCTCGTCCACTTGCGTCACATACTCTTCGCAACGTGCAGCGAACATTGCACGCAGACCTGGACAGCGCATGGTTAGCGGGGTTTAACACGATGTAGAATAAGCGAGTGAGATCGAGGAACATGTATTGGAATTGGAGGCACGTAGGAACCTTCCCCGCGGAAGAATTAAAGCCAAACTTAGGTTTCATAGTGAAACGCGAAAGGCACTCTTACGTCCACTTCTACCAATCTATTAACCTGAATCTCGATTTAATAATTTATTCTTTATATTTTTTTTAATTCTTAGAATTAAAAAATATAAAGAGAAAATTAAATCGAGATTAAAGTTAATTTACTTATTAATAAAAATAAACATTACGTATATATAAAGTTATGGCTGAAAAAGAAAATGCGTTAACCAAAAACAGGTATGTCGGGCAGTTTACAGTTCCAAAATGAGCGCGTAGTAATAATTGACTAGTCACACTTAGGAGAGCTTTGTTACATAAAAGTATACATTTGATAGCTTTTATGCAACACAATAATTATGGCAGAGAATCAGAGCATTGGAGAAGTCAACCGCAGTACCCCACAGTATTAATAGCAGCGCATTCATTAAAGCTAATAACAACGAAATTTTAATGGACATGTTAGTAGGCGCGTGTTAGTGGGACAAAATAGAAAAAAAGAGCTATATTATTGAATTTCAAATTGCGGATTTTGTAAAATGTATTTTGAAAAGGGAAAGGTTTAGTAAAGATTCACAAGACAAGAAGATCTATTATAACTACATCTTAATATTTTTTGTTTTTCTACAAAATAAAAGAAACTTCTAATCGTATAGGATAGACAAGATATAGGAATTAAATACTCACTCGAGAATGTCGCGGCATTTTCCTTCAACATCCTAAGCTCATTTCTTAATTTGAGCATTGTTTCGTTAACAATGCTCTTTTCGTTCTCGTATTTGCTCTTCAGATTTGTTAACGCTACTTCCGCCGTGTTTTTGTTTGATTTAAGCACTGTCCTTAACGTAGCAATTTGTTCTCGTTTAGCAGATAACAAAGCTTTTAATCTTATAACTTGCTCTTGGAGATCCGTTACGTCCGCCTTGTTTTCATTGACAGAAGCTGAAAAGTTTCAATCGAATGGAAATTAGAAGTTACTCTATTGACAAAATTTAATTTATATTACAAGATAAAAATATATTTCTTATTAAGTAAGAGATATATTTACCCTCGCAAACATTGCAAACATTGGATTGCATCCCTTTGACTTTCGATAGTTCGATCGTGTGCTCTACGGCATTTCTGAGATGTTTTATTTGATCCATCGCGGTCTCTATGTGCTTTGCAATTTCTTTCGCTTTACTAAGACTTTCTAGGTCTTTGATCTTAATGTCGGTCTTGAACAAAGTTCGGCACCAATCCATTTTACCATTTTCCTCCTCTTTCTCAGGAATAATTTCTGATTTCTCATGATCCAACACAACTCTAGATGGCGTCTCACCATTAACAGTGCACACGTGATGATAAAGTTGCGCGAGCTCGTCGGAGAGATTCTGTAGGTCGTTCTGAGCGGAATCAAGAAAACCGCCCGCTTCAGCGGTGAGTTTCGACAGAGTGGACACGTCCGACTCGAGTTGCATGCTCCTTTGTTCTGTATCTAAGAGCTGAAATAAACGAGGAAGCATTAAGCACGTGATCGAGAACGCGATATCAGCGTCGCAATAAATACGTTAGGTATGTATCGCCTAATATTACATGTTTATCGGAAATTCATTTGTGAGATGAGTTTGTAGATAGATATTTATTAAGTAATCGGATAGTTTAAGTTTAAGAGGGCCTAGTTCGTAACTTTGCGAGTGCAATACAGAGATATTGCGAAAAATGTATAGGTTGTTGATGATTTCTTTTCTCGTGCAAAACAGGCTCAGCGAGCTCCGACCGACATGCTACGTTAGAATGCGAAGATGCGAAATTTAGATAGGAAGAAAGCTCGACTCTGACTTTTCGTTTCTAAGCGCATTCTCCGTTTCAAAAAGCCACGTTGCATAACGTATTACGATCCGTATGTCATTTCTTTCGAGCATTTGTTGTAACATTCGCCAACGTCAGGATCCACGTGTGAAAACGTGAACGGTGCGAGTCTGTACGCGGCGCTTGGAATAGTCAGATCATTCTCACACGTGGATTTACGTTTAGTAGAGTGATGGATGAATTCGTCAGTAGCTTCGAAAACATGTACGGTTAAATTATATAAAGAAATATCATAGAGAGGAAGCGATATATGGGCTGTTAGGACACTGAGAAGCGAGTATCACTGTACGTATCATTAGAGGAGCCAACAAGACAAATTGTTATTAAAATATCTGGTAAATACGTCAAGGGGACCACACGTAACCCAACCTTTTCTCGAAGGCTCTTCTCTGACTCGGGTATCTGAAACGCCACAATTTCTATTCAAAGTCTATCATTTGTGCACGGTAATTACGCCAGTATTGCACAAACTTTATATTCTCGCCGTTACCAAACTCTTGTTCTTTGTCTCTCATTTTTTTCTCTACATCTTATAATAGTATATTAATTTACACACGGCCTTTTTTTGCAAAACGCTGTTGCGAGTGTATCTTATGATAAGAAGTCAAAGATATAGATAAATACATACTTTGTTTCTTAGATTCGTTAGCTCCGTTCTTAGTTGCTGCGTGGAGTCAGATACGGTTAAACCATTCTCCAGTTCTGCCAGATCCTTTTGCAACTGACTGATCTCGCGAGCGGACATGGTGCTCCACTGATGATATTGCACAACGGCCTGTTGAAAAGGTATTGTCATTAGCATATTTTATAATAAAATAATATTAGATAAAAGTATATAAGAATGTATTTTACGATTATGGTTAGATTTTAATACTAATAATTATTTTTTAATTTACATGTATAAATTTAATAAACCTCACTCGCCACTAAAATAATATTAAATGACAAAAGGCGGTCATATATCTTAACGTGTAATTATTTTTTTTAATTTATACGTAAATTTAATAGACTTTGTTACTGCTACCAATTATGCACTAAGACCGATATTCATAATCAATTTTTACTTCAAGACCGTCTTAAATAATGTTTTAAAATATTAATACGACTCTGATTGATTGACTTCTTAAGACAATACTTAAGACAATCTTATATATAAGATTTGATTATGAATACCAGTCTAAAATCCAACCATGATCATAAATACTTTTTTTACACATTTCTACTATTAAAACATTTTGTGTATAAATATTTATATAATATTAAACGCATTTTTTTATTTATTCTTTACATATCAGATGAAAAATAAAAAATTTTTATTTATATTAATTTAAAAAATCATATTAATATACCTGATTGAGTTTATCTAACGTCGTCTCTTCGTTCTGCTTTTCCGGCAGTTTCGAATGAAGATGATGAAGCGATTGCACATGCGCTGCTAGTTGCACTATTCGTGCAACGAACGATTGCAATTCCGCTTGACTCTTCTCAACCGCGTATTGTGATTCGCGTAAATTTTGTGTCAAGTGGGCTTTCTCGGTCTCTGCGAGCTCCAACTGCTTCTCTAATTTCTTCAGTTCATTCAGATGAATCTCAGAGAAGAGATCAACCTGTTTGTCAGTCGCGGACGTGCCCGGTTCCTGCGTCTTCAGATCTGCTTCGATTCTACGCAGCGCAGGTGAGTCGTCCTCTCCATCGCTGCATATTGTTTGATCTTCCGTAATACCTCGAATGGAAAGCGCCAGGTTGCTAAGATTGTAAATCGATTCGCTGTTGATCCTTTGATCCAGTTCCTTTTTCAATGCATACTTGGCCTCGCGCTCGGCTTGCAAAGACTCTAATGCCTCTTCCATTTGCTTCTCCGCTATTTTCTTCAGATTTGTTAGTTCTTCCACTTGGCTATTTAGTAACTCGACCTCCTCTGTAAGTCGTCGAATTTCATGTTTGGCACCCTCGAATTCCACTTGACTGGACCGCAAACCGGACACTTGTTTTTGCAAAGAGATATTCTCATCCTCCAGCTCAGAGTAATCCTGGAGCAGGCGGGTCTCGCGGAACCTGCACTCCCGCAATTCTGTTCGCAATGACTTGCGCTCCGTCTCTGCTTGCTGATGATCCTTCCCGACCTCTTCGCGCTCCTGCAGCGCGTGATCACGCTCTGCCTCGACTCGTTCCAATTCATGTCGCAACTAAATATAATTCGTAATATATCAAAAGGCATTCCTATTTTGCGTAAGATAATAATTGCGACAAGCACGACACAAACCTGTTTCGTTTCGTTCTCTAATTCGATGATCTGCGACTGCAAAGATGTTTCCCGTGCGGCACTTTCGCTAAGAAGACTTTCCTCCTGCTCGATGCCACTCTTCGCTGTTATTTTTGTAGTTGTCTGAAACTTTGCTAGCGCCTGAAATAACAGCAAAGTATGCGTTTTATTGTTGCATGGATACACATCTTTCTGTAAGAATTGTGTTTATACAATGCATAAAAATGAAGAGAACAATTATTTACCACTTTTTACAAAGTATATCTTAAACCTATTCTTTATTCTTTATTCATTGTACTAGATTACAATATTTTCTCGTCAAAGCACAAACATAAATCTATTTCATCTTAAATACAATGAATGTGCTCATAAAGAATAAGTTTCTTAAGTTCTTCCTAGAAAACAAATCTGATCAAACACATTTTTTCTAGAATGCCATTCTGGATCACATAACTAAATATAGATATCCGTAAATTGATTGGTCAATGTAGGTGCATCGAATGAGTCACTCTACATTCTCTCTGCAGTCAAATTTACATGTTTGACTTCACCTGTCTTCCAACCTGTTTTTATTTCAAGAAAAAAGAATTCACTACTTCTCTCTTTCTCTCGCATTCTATAAACTCCATATTAAATGTTTACTTTGGCTCACCCACGCCTCGTTTTTATCGTTACATTTAATCGCCGCTGCCAAGCGAACCGTCGCGAGAGCGGGATAAATTTTTTTCTTTCTCTCCCTCTCGCGTGACATGCACGATCGGGCGTGTCGAGCATAGCCCCAGGAAATACTTAGGCTCGTACTAACCTCTTGCGTGATCTCCAGCTCGTGCTTTGTGTTCTCGTAGAGCGCCTCGAGGTCGTTGCACCGTTGCTGTAGGGCCGACTTCTCCTCGAGCAGCGCGAGTCCGTATTGCGCCGATTGTATCTTCTCGGTAGAGGCCAAGTCGAGCTCGCGCGAAAGACGCTCGATCTCGGTTCTCAGCTCCTCGAGCCCGACTCCGTTGACGGTGGCGGCCATTGCTGCCTGCGTGATGACGACGACGGCGACGAAGATGACAACGACGCTGTTGATCGCCTGTCGCTCGGCGCCTGCCGCTCCTCGTGTCCTCTCCCGCTTCCTCCTCCTCTCCTCCGTCGCCCTTCTCCTACACCACTGCTACCTCCCGCACCTCGTCGTTATCGCGAGTGAAACGAATGGACGCCGGTCGCCGCGATTGCAAGCGCGAACGCATCCTTCGGTTAATCTTCCCTCTTCCTTTTTTTCCTCTTCCCTTCCGACGCCTCGTGTCGCAGTCACCACACTTCGACGGGACGCACACGCGACTCTCCTACCTCTCCTTTTCGGCTTTTCACATCCTATCCGCGATGCGAGAGACTATCGTCACCGCGAGCGACACTGCGAGCCGATTTTGACAGACGCGGCGGCGACGGCGCGACGGCGACTACGACGGCTTGGCCACGGGGTGCGGGTGGGCGGACGAACGAGATCACGCGAACAACCGGATGCATGTTCCACAGTTCTGATTTTTAACTCGGTTCTGACATTCCGCTCGTTCCACGCCAGTACCAAAGGCCAACCGGTCTTCCCTTTTTCTCTCTCTCCCTCTCTCCTCCTCTCTCTCTCTCTCTCTCTTCT